ATATTATAAAAAAAATATAAAACATTTTTTCCGTATTGATATATAGTTATATCAACACTCGTGGAAGTTGGGAAAACTCGAAATTGTATGAAAACACTCCGCCCTTCGGGCGTCGTGTTTCCATACAATTTCTCGTTTTCTCACAATTCCACTCGTGTTGATATAACTGTATATCAACACGGAAAATGTTTTATATTTGTTAAGTGTCACTTGGGACACCCTGTACATGTATATCTCTATGTCGGCCCTTTGTATTGCACTCTTGTCTACAGTATATTCTGTAATTCTGACTATATAATGCACGCTGAAATGGCAGCTAATATATAGTTACCAACCGTATCTTATTTGCCAAATACTGTATAGAAAGGCTATTTTTTAGACTATTTGACCTTATTAGGCGAACCGCTTCAATCAATATTTGCCCTTATACTATAAACTAAGATTTGTGTATCTAACCAGTTGGAAAAACAAGTTCTTCTTTGACTTTGTGCAATTCCAGCAATTCAGTGACCAAATATTATACTAGCATTAGTGAACTCGTGCACTGGATTAACATAGTATACAAACGTTTAAACAAACTTCTGGGCGGAAATACGCTAATTGTCTTTCATATTAATCGGTCTTTCTATAAGCAGCACACTTTATTCGTATTGTGATTGGATTGTTGAGCAAGTGGAATAGATATCAATATCTAATACAACCGAAAGCACACTGATCAACAAAACCACACAAAACACGATAGTCAATAGGATGAAATATACACATTTTCTTCCTATCTTTGAAGGATTTTTTGCAGTCGTAATTTTATCTTTACAAAATATATCGTCCGTTCAAACGGATCATTTACGAGTAAATGTGTCAAGACAAAGCGATGGTGATATATTGGTCTTCGAGGATAAAGTTCACTGTGCTTCGTTCAATGCAAAATGTAGTCGAGTTCCAAATAACGAACGAGAGACTACAAAGTATAACATATGTGACAGCTGCAAATGTTTGTCAGGAAATACTACATATGTCTCAACTGAGAATAAGTGCATAAATACAAACGAAATGACAACTTTAAATTGTCGAATATTTCGCCAGAAACAAGTGACAGTGCTGAAAAAATCTAATAAAGCCATCAGTCGACCGGTCCACGCGTATCGTTGCGAAATTAAAGAACAGCATCCAGAGTTCTATTCAGATAATAAAGGTGCTGATACTTGGATACGGATGATAGATGTGGACTTCTCGTTGAGAAGCCGTTTCAAAACAGGCAATCGTCGCCTTAGAAATTGGCTGGTGACATTCAACAATAATAATATTTCTAAAATGTTGTCAAAATATGCCGGTAGAATTGTGAAGTTAAAACTCAGTTGTAGAATGCGACGGCGCCAGCGGAAACAAACCGATTTGTGTATTATATTCAAAATAGCTGGCTCTGTCACTGGTGGGAATTCAACCCTTGTCAGGCATCCTAATGACACCTACCGTTCGCCTTCAGCTCGTCCGACCAGAGTGGATACGTTATGGCACACAGCAAATGGTTATACTAGCACTGAATCACCAAGTGCAATAAAGACATCACTGCCATCTGGGAATAACACTGCTCAAGATCAAAAATCAAAAAGTGGAAAAAACAATCACGTAATTTGGATTATAATAACAGTTCTTATTGTCATTATAATCGTATTGATTGCAGCAATTGTCTTTATATGTTTCAAGAGAAGGAAAACAAAGAGAACAAATGAGGAAGATCGAAGAAGAGACATTAGGCTACACGAATATGATGTTCCTATAAAGTCACAATTTCAAGGCGTACATGGTGGTAATCCACAAGGAGCGGACCATATTTATGCAACAATTTCAGAAATGCAGAATGCCAATTCAGCTACTTGCAGTAGTCCTAACGAGTATCAAGAACTCAATCCAGGTGATAGAGAAAAAGATGCTTCACATTACCAACCTCTAGTACAGCCCAGTGAGTTGCAGTATGTTGATATCTTGCCTCATCAGGCAGAAGTTGGCAGTAACTAATGATAGAAATACTTGATTTTGTACAGAAAAGCTCATACGCATACCCAGTCGACACTATATATAATCTATATAGCTTTGCCCAACCTGATTAGTTGCTTTTTCACTCATAAATTACTGCACATATAGAACTGATCCATCTATAGCAGACCATTATAAAATATATCTGCAACACAGGGGTAGAGGTTATACAAGAAGTCCCATTGAAATATTTCGTGTGACCGGTGTCCCCTGTAACAAGAGGGGTTGTACAGGAATTTACGTTGCCCTTCCACGCTGATTTGGATGTATGCTGTATAATTAATTCTGTCCGACTTTGCATGTATGTTTGTCACAATTATAACCGCGGTAGCTACTATAAATTAATACTAGCCAGTGTCAGATCTTATAATAATATAGACTTATAGTAATTAGGATTGGGAGACAGGCTAGTATTAAATAGTTTTAATTATCATGCAGTGACTTTTAGCTCTGAAATATGTATCAAAATTATCTATGTTTGACTAGTGAGAAAATGAAAATAGTTGCTGTTTTTGATCCTGCAGGAGAACAAATAACGAACTTTAAGGTCCTAAAAATTTATTTACTATCTACAATATATGTACTTAAAAATTCCATCCTCTTTCAATTGCAAAATAACCTCCTGATCCCGGCCCGCGGTGTCGTAGCAGATTGCACTCCACCCGTCTAGAGGCCAGGAAAGCAATATCGATATTTATATGGACTGAAATAATTGATTGCCTTTGCACTAGAGAACGTAAGAATGTCGTGTCTATTTACAATGAATATAACTAATATACAGATAAAATTAAAGAGTAAATTCTATATACAGATAAAATTAAACAGTAAAATCTATAGTCGTACGTTAGGTTAGTCTCACTGTCGAATCTTCCAAATACAACGTACCAACTATCAAATATATAGGTGGAGCAAAGAGAGGGTTCGTAATCATTGACATTAAATCATGTTCGGGAAATGATTCCAATTGAATTAAGATTCATAAATAGCCAAATATAGTCCCTCCTCCATAAGCAATGTTGCTGTTTGACACTGATCATGTTTTCGTTGAGAACGTGTTAAGTTGCACCATCCGTCTATTTAGGGTACACGATACAATTCCATTTGTCATTGTCAACATTGTTAGAGAATTGGGGGGGGGGGGAGTTACGAGGGTGCCAGTTTTCGCACCAAAAATCCACCTTAGTATCTTTTGTGATTTTCGGTTTTTAGCAAATAGGCCAGCGGTTTTTCGGATTCGGTTTTCCCATATTGTCTCTGGTTCTCATTGTGCGGGAAGTTGTGGACCGGTGATTATGGACCGCCAGTAATGTAGATGGGACCAGGAAATTCTCGAATAGGCTGGTATTAAGAGAAAAATGTGGTAAGTTGTTTAGGTAACAACGTCTGGTTATTTATGCGGTTTTCCGTTTTGTTCGAAACTGTTTATTGCGGTTTTGCGGTGTTTGATGAATTGTTTTGTGGCCTCTATAATAGGTCCCAACGCCCTCCTTCTTAAGCGTAAGAGGCCACTCCCACTCAATTACCAATTTCTTTCCAGATAATACTTTTTTGCCGTTATTTCTTGCCATTAAATAAGAAAATCAATGACCAATTTGGCTTTTTGGCTGCAATATCCTTCATGCATAGCGGACGCAATGTCGAGGTCATTTGTAACACTCCACCGAAACTCAGTAATTACACTGACTTGAAAGGTCAAGCGTCTTAAATCCCTAAATATCTGTTTTTCCTGTGTTTTTCGTCGTCGAGAAATCGAGTTTGCGTTAGCGCATCGCAGGCTCAGTTTCCAGTGTTTCAGTCGTTCCAGTTTACTATACAAATCAATTTTCAAGATGGCGCCATTCAATGAGTGTCTATTTCAGTCTCAAACAATTTATTCATTTGTCAACGAATTTTAGCGCGACGTTTTTCTGTGGATTTTGGATTTATCCTACTTTGCACTTTCTTGGAAGTGGACTGGGTGTGTTTTTTTTCGTGCAACGTGTCTGGAATGCAATATCTGGATCGCTGAGTTTTTCGAATTTTATACGTTTAATACGAACTCACGGAATGTAAACAATGTTGTCTGCGTTAGCGCATCGCATCAGTGGCGGAAATTCACTTTTTCCGGGGGGGGGGCAAGGCCTCCTAAATTTCCCACAAAACTTTCAAATTTCCGACATACCCCCCATTTGCACTCGAAAAGACTGTTTTTAGCCCTCTTTTAGATCAAAATGTCCGAAAATTCGTCAATTTTCCGGAAGGTGTTGGGGGGGGGGGGGCGGTCCCCCTGCCCCACCAACATTTCCGCCACTGCATCGCATGCTCAGAGACCATGTGCATTTATGGATAACGTTAACTTTGTGAGTAATACTTGTATTTCATTACGCATTACGAAAACATCTCCTGAGGATCACGCCACGTATTTAGCCTTTCACCATTTCACGCTTTGCAGTTCACGTTTTGTATTCTTGTCTGTTGCACCATAGCACGTATGTCATCATTTTCAGGCCAGTGTGAACGCCTGAGCAGGCGTCTTGTTAAAAATAAGTCCACTGCACACTTTTATGTATAAATACTAGTGGAATAAAGCACTGATGTGAAGAGGATGTGCACGTATATATAACCATAATAACCATGTTCCGACCATGCAGAGTTCTCATAGAAGCTTTGTTCTCAGTTGAAGGGTCTTGGAAACTATCGAGTGGAAATTTATATGTACTTATTAGACCTATAGCCAACCAGGAACAGAAGCGAAAAATGCAACTTTAGATCCCTGGCAAGAATAGAATCTACGGCCAGCGCACCGTTTCCATCCACAATACCCTTCAACCAATATTCAATCGAGTATGATGCCAACAAAATCTTGATATTTCCACGTAGCTCTGTTCTCAGCAAGGGAAGCCGGTGAAATAAGTATAGGTTATCTTGAGGCAACGAGGGGATATGTGATTTATTCACCGAGGCGCGCAGCGCCGAGGTGAATAAACACATATCTGCGAGGTAGGCCGTATTCCCTGGCCCCAAAAGTCGCTTAGAAAACGATTTTTGTTGCCCCCTTCGGGCACTACTTTAAATTTACATGAATCTATAGATTTTTATACGCTGAGTTCGAATTCACTTGTTGTCACTCGCACAAACCTGCATTTTTTTTGTATTTTACGATCAAACATCAACATTTTTTATTAACATTTCCGCCATTTTGTTCAGGAAACTTCATGTTATATACAGTTATTGTACTAGTTCAAGTCTCTTAGCAGGGGGGTTGCACGCGGTATTACGCATTTTTTATCATTCTTCTGCATCCTCGTTCCCAGGGCTTCTCGGCTGCCTGCGTTGCCATAAGCCCTGCATCCTCGTTCCCAGGGCTTCTCGGCTGCCTGCGTTGCCGTAAGCCCTGGGACAAGCCGAAGCAGAAGTGATTTGATTGGTCGTTGGAAATAGAGTGAAATATGAAAAGTTTATTCGTCAAGTGGATGTTTATATTTGCAATAT